CCTACCTATGATAGCGTTTTGAAAGGCAGTGAGGATATTTTTGCATGACAACTTTAAAATGCCACAGGGTTCCAAATACTGGTTTAAATTGTTTAAAAAATTTTCAGGATTATATTTTATTTAAAATTTTCATTCATGTTCCCAATCCCGTTAGGTATGACCACAAAAAATCCCCCTCCTTGAATTTATAGGTAAACACGCAAAGACATTCTGGGATTTTTCCTAACCAATAAGGTAGGCCACTTTTTGGTCTCATTCGACTCAGTTCCCGTCTTTCTTGCTTTGAAACCCAGAACGCTGCGATCACTTGTAGGTGTCCCCTTTTGCGTGCTAACACCATTTTTAGTTTGTGAACTTTTTGCCACATTACTATGACTTGGAAATGCATATATTATTTGCTTGTTTAATATTATTTTTGCTTTACTCTTTCCTTTCTCTTGTTATTGCTTATTGCAAACTTTGTTAATTCTGTTCATTGAGCATTTCTGCTAATTACATTTAACTGTGGCCAATTACTCTACAATTGTGTCTGGAACTAGTGACCTCATTAAACATGAGCGTTTGAAAAGTAAATAACCAAAATGCTTTGATGCCATAATGCAATGGCTTCATTTACAATTCAAAGAATTCATGCTGAATATACTTTGAAATATCCGTGTACTAAAGTCATAAAATTCCTGTACTGGAATGCTAAAATGAGACAATATATAATCTTCAAAAATTTGAAAACTCATACCGTTAGCAAAAATAATTATGAAACAAAAGAACCATTCACTATATTCACAGTTACATTCATAATAACTCATTAATTTGTTTTCATTATATATTGTATTTTTAGTAACGTATCTGGAGTTTGAAATCAATACCTGGATAAAAGAGTAGTATCAATTGAAAGTTGAAAAAACCCGACTTCATCGCCTTGGATAGAGTTCAGCATATATTACTTAAAGCAAGCATAATTACAAAACATTACGGAAAACATTACTGTACATAAAAAGCAAGCTACAAGCAAAGCTGTTGATAAGGCAAGAAATCAAAATGTAAACCCACCCAACACTCCAACAATCATCCTTCTTTGCCCGCTTCGTATGACAGATTGACACATGACTCTGCGGAGGTTTCACAATACTAGTGTTTTACCATTACCGGTATCCCCCTTTTGTTACGTTTCTTTCTTCACTACTTTACATCTGATTAATAATAAGAATGTGTTCAGGCATATTTAGGTGTAGGTGTGATGGATCAGTTAGTAGTAACGAATGTCACCAATGTTTCCTTTTGCAGTACCAATAACAATAATAATTTTATTCGATCTGAGTCGAGACCCGTACCGCAATTAAATGTGAAACCATTAATCTTTTTAATGGCCGTATAGTAAGGGCGACAAACCGGACTTATTTGCAGAGTTGTTTGTCTCGTAGACCGGTTACAAATCATAGCAACAGAGCTCAAATTGCAAGGCTAAATAACCCATAGCTGGATGAAGATGGGATATATTCATACCTTTCCAAAGTGCATCTGCATGAAAGTGAATGCAACGAACTCCACCGGAATTCGAACTCAACTCGCCAGATACTCTTTCCGAGTTGCTAACAGTTACACTACGCGCAGATCCACGAATAATAATAATAATAATAATAATAATAATAATAATAATAATAATGACAACAATAATTATAATAAATGTGAAGACTGAAAGCATCAATAGTACCAGTCATAGTAGGTGCGCTTGGAATGATAAAAAAGGAACAAAACAACTTATCGAGAGAATTCCTGGAAATCCTAGCTTAAGAGAAATATAAAAAATTGTCTTGAAAACTACAGTCCACACACTGAGGAGAAATTTGTCCATGTAATGCAAGGGATGTTATGGGAGTTGGAAAAACAAATCATGAAATATAGCCATAAAAAACACATCTTAGGTCTTCCCGCAGACTTGGTAGGTAGTGTAACCATAGCACAATTCGAAATATAATAATAATAATAATAATAATAACAACAACAACAATAATAATAATAATAGTAGTAGTAGTTGAAGTCCTGGGTTTTAGTTCCAAAGATTCCGATAGACTAATTGAAGGGATTCCTAGCAGTCCATGCCTTAAAGAAATAAAAAAAAAAGTACTCACAAGTACAGCTCAAATACTACGAATATTACGAGCTTTATCTATGTAAAATATGTGTGATCTTCGTTTGTTTTTTGCAAAAATGATTAATCGAAAATGTCCTGAAGCCATTTCTGACCTTTGGTCTCTGGTTGAAATCCGGAAGTAAATGTGTATCAAACAGAAATCAACGGAAGAAATGATAATAATAATAATAATAATAATAATAATAATAATAATAATAATAATAATTTAATTAAATAATATTATGTTGTTAGGCAAACGTCTCTTCTAAAATTCGTATATAAGAGCTAATTTTTGAGCCATAACAAAATTAAATAAAAACACTCCGTATATAATGTTAAATACAGTAATAATTTTTCTTTTAAAGTATATATAAAAAGATGCCTTAAAAATCCCCCACCAAAAGCCGCGTATTTAGTTTCCACTGTCTCTTGAACAGTAAAAGGTACCTTCTTTATTTGGTTGCGTGTTCTATTCAGATTTCCTGAAGTTTCATCTACTCTCTTGTATATAGATACGCTATTTTAAAATTGAAATATATATATATATATATATATATATATATATATATATATATATATATATATATATATATATATATATATATGAAGGATAGAGAAAACACTCGTCAAAAAAGAAATGCTCAAAGGCCTACTGACCTTTGTGAATTTGGTTAGATTTGGGGATATCTGGGAAATCTTCGGATGTCATATATTCAGAATGAAATATATATATATAGTCTTGCTTAGTCATAAATTCGATAATTGTATATTAATGATGGGTTGCTTTTTATGGTTAACACTTCATTGTATTTGTACTAGTATTTGTCTGATAGTTTTTAGATATTCTTTGAGTTACTGGTATGCATGTGACGGATATAAATATACAACTTTTTAATCTGGTCTTTTATATATTTACATACACACGCATACTCACACACACATATATGTGTGTGTGTGTGTGTGTGTTTTATTTACCCATTAACAGCGGTGTTATACGCTTAACGATTGGTTTGAAAATGTCTGGTTGTTTATTTATAACGCTCCCAAGAACATCGTTGCTTACGAGTAAATAAAATGTTTTTTGTACGTTTATAAAAAAAAAACTCTTTTAAAAGAATTTTAAACATAGTATTCTTGTATACATATGAAAAGATATATATATATATATATATATATATATATATATATACACACATATATATATACACATATATATATATATATATATATATATATATATATATATATATATATATATATATATATATATATTGTTTAAAATTTGTTCGAGAAGAATGTTCAATATAAACAGTGTGCACGTAGAAATCAACATTTGAGACTGTTTATATCTATATATTCTGTTGAATAGAACGGGCACTGAATATCTATTGAAACTATTGGAAACTTTTCTTCCGATGTCGATTAAGTCGTTTAAAATCTGGTGGTTACTTACTGAAATTATATGTTTTTCGTTTTCAAGGCAAGAAATAGAAAATTAAGAAATACCATTCTTTGTGGATAACAGAGATAACTTGAAAAGAACACAACGCAAGGCTATACTGGCTATTTCAGGACAACTATGCTTGATACCGATTGGCCATCAATCAGGCAACCTTTTACTCCATGTGTTATCTTCTCTTTTTTATATATGTACCGCTTCTCTTCAATTCTTTGTCTAATCACTTCTATATTTCTTCTCTTGGCTTATTTTCTGATCTATATTAACTTCTTTCTACTCCTTAGTGTTATCTCTAGCATTTCTCTTTTCAATAACCTTTTCGCCTTTATAAGTATATTTTTGTTTATTTCCATGTTTTACCGCCATCTTTTATCACTACCATTATAGGTTATACTCTTCACTTTTGTCATAAAATGGTCCACCATTTTGTCGACGCTTTCTGGACACGTTGTTTCGATCCTTTTTCGCATAGACCTAGTCCGACTGGTAAATTTTTATTCGCGAATGACGCTAAATTGTCTATATCGATCAGGGAACAAAGTCTATTGCTTTCTCTTGTAGTGTCCCGTTCGCACTTCGCCCACTTGGAGTCAGTAAATCCTCCTGATTGTCTTTCACTCCAGTTCATTTCAATTCAAAGACGTTCCTACTTATGCTTGAATTTGCCAATATGTCATAAAATGGTGGCTAAAAGACGATTTTTCTTTTAGGTAAATCTCATTAAGATCAGTCGCAACCTAATCCATTAAACTTATCAAACATTAATAATAACGACTAGGTTCTATTTCGCAGTATTTTCCTTAAAACCCAAATAATACCACACACACAAATCGTTGTGCAACACTATCTTTCTACCTTATTTTCCCTCCATTTGTATCCCACTAAAATAAGCTGTCAGTCTCCTGGTTATACATACGATGTGTTGGTATGAGCATGTATGTATGTGTGTGTGGGTTTGTGTGTATGTGTGCGCATGTGTATATATGTATGTGCATGTGCGCATGCGCGTAGGTGGAAAGCATTTTCTTCACTGGTTAGACCTTTTAGTTGTCTGTCAGTATCAATTGCATAAGAATGCATCAGCAGGAAGTAATTTTTGAACGAAGGGCGAATGTCAAAAACTTTGGGCGGGAAAGTGGGGGTGGTTATTGAAAGCAAGTAACGACGTACATAAATAAGTAATGGCTAAGGGTCAGAAGAGACGGACTGGGAGGGTGTGATGGGGGTAATGGGGGTTTGTCGGAAAGTAGGTGCTTTGAAAGGCCAGATTTCGGTCCGAACTATTGACTTTCAGTTTGGTAGCGATGACAAACCTGGTCAAGATGGCATCGCATTCAGACTTGACCCCCAGTGTGCGAGTAAGATACGACATTGACCGGCCCAAGCAAGAATTTATTACCCTTTGCTAGCATGGAGCCATCATTTTCTTACACTTTCCTTCTTTTCCGCCTGAAAGTTCTTTCGCATCAAAAACATATTGCAACTTTCTTTTTTTTTCGTTCCTTCTTTCTTTCTAAGTTTTAGTTATCTTCATTTTTAGTGGGTTTTTTTTCGTTCAATTTCTTCCTTAATTTTTTAAAATTTCTACCATTCCTTCTTTATTTCACAAACTGTCATATCTATCTATCTATCTATCTATCTATCTATCTATCTATCTATCTCAGCAGCTTTATATATATATATATATCTACTTATCTCAGTGGCTTTATATATATATATATATATATATATATCAGTATCTTTTTATCTATCTATCTGTTGTTCTTTATATCTATTTTACATTTTAACTGTTTATAAATTCATTTCTTTTTGTTCTTACCTTGTTTCCTATCTAGGTATCATTTTCTTTCCAGCTCTTCTTTCTTTCTTTCTTTCTTTCTTTCTTTCTTTCTTTCTTTCTTTCTTTCTTTCTTCCCAGCGTTATTTTTTATATCTTTTTATTTACTTTTTGTATTCCATTATTCATTCTTCTGATTTAATTCTGTTTTGTTTTTTCCTTTCTTTGTATTTAATTTTTACTTTCCTTTCCTTATTATATTTCTTTCTTTCTTTCTTTCTTTCTTTCTTGCTTTCTTTCTTTCTTTCTTTCTTAGCTCCCCACCTTATCCTTCTTCTACTCCCATTTTCCTTAATGTAACCGTTCCATTTGATAGTCTATTAATATTCCCACCAGAAATCCTTCATTCTTTCCTTCCTTTTCTTCTACTTTAGCGCATACCTTTATTCTCAATCAAGTACATAGCACCGGGAATCACTCTCCAAGATTACGCCTCCTTTATGTTCTAAAAGTATTCGGAGGTCCAAGCGTTCTTTGGTTACAATCATTACGTTTAGATGTCTCATGTAATCTAATGCCATATTAGGTATTGTCCATGGAAATATTTCCCACTCCACTGCCTTTCTTTCTTTTTTTCTTTCTTTCTTTCTTTCTTTCTTTCTTTCTTTCTTTCTTTCTTTCATTTTTTCTTTCTTTCTTTCTTTCTTTCTTTCTTTCTTTCATTCTTTCTTTCCTTCTTTCTTTCTTTCCTTCTTTCTTTCTTTCTTTCTTTCTTTCTTTCATTCTTTCTTTCTTTCTTTCTTTCTTTCTTTCGTTTTTTCTTTCTTTCTTTCTTTCTTTCTTTCTTTCTTTCATTCTTTCTTTCTTTCTTTCTTTCTTTCTTTCTTTCTTTCTTTCTTTCTTTCTTTCTTATTATATACAGTTATCTTTTTCTCTTCTTTACTTTGTTAGTCTTTCTTTTAAACCTTCATTCGTAATCTTATTTCTGATACGTTTCATTCGTTTCCTTCTTCCTTTTTGTTCTTTTATATTTCTGACATTCATTCATGACTTTTGTCTCCATATTTTCTTTTCCTTTCGTTTTTACTCGGGTGCTGGCTATAATCTGTCATTTGCCAAAAGTTATATGAGTCCAATATCTTGTAACCCATAAATATATTTAACATTCGCATGGGATTCGGGCATAACCACAGACTGTGAATCAATACAACAACGATTAGGATCGTCTTTCTTCTTGTCCTGAATCCCACATACAAGCACTACACAGGTTGCCATACATTCACAAAGATCTGTACATCTCCAACCGAAGCACTCCCTCAAATTTTATTGATATATATATATATATATATATATATATATATATATATATATATACCTAAGGTAGACGTATGTCTTTGAGCGGAGTTTAGTAAGCTAGTCTCGCAGACAACAGTCCCATGACTTCGATCTTCCGAGATGTGATTATCAGCCGAGCTTCTTTTATGCGCCATGTCTCTTGAGGACGTGCGCGTGCGCGGTCATGGCTCTCAACAACTCCTAGTCTTTTGTTGTTCTAAGCAACTTTCAGCTCTTTACTATCTCTTTTTTTATATCCAGTCCCACACAAATGTCTTGTGAGTGTCAGTTTCTTTTTATTTTACAATAATGTTTACCTCATAAAAGGTCCAAGAGCAACTCGAGGTAGAGGATTGCAGAATAAGAGGGACATTATATGTTGATATGTGAAGAGGATAATGGTTAACCCTAGAGTGAAACGGTTTAAAATTGTAGCGATGGGGGAAGATCCTTTTGTGAGTCAGCCAGTTATGTGCCATGCGTGATACACGCTTAGGCGATCCTGTATCTTTCGATACATGACCGACGAGGCAGATTTTTTCCCTCGGTAGGTTGACATTTCTTTCTGTGGTAGACCAGTTGACATCCAAGGCTATAGAAACCAGTCTGTCCTGCTACTTACCCATAGCTGGAGGGAGAAGAAGAGGATTCATCCCTTTCCCAAGGGTATTAGCACATAAGTGAATATAATGGATTCGAGTGGAATTCGAACTTGGCTCTACGATTCCTCAATCTGAGCCGTTATCTATTGCACCAGCGTGTGTCTGTTCCTCAAATTGGCGGTTTGTAAGAAGAAGCTATTCGATTTGAACTTACATCTCACCAATAGAATACGAAGGTAATGGGGATGGTTCCCTACAATATAGGTGCCATGGCGGGTGTAACGAAGGGTTGTAATTCGTCTGAAGACTTTCCATGGAAATAGCGATAGAGCAGCAACGGGCTTGCGACGTTTCGTCTGTGGGAAAAGGGGTTGTATGATGGAAAATATTTCATCATCGATAAGGATACGAAGATGTTTTTGGACACTGCCAAGACTGGAAAAGGGAAGACTGGACAGCTTCTGCCTATATATGTCAGCAGTACTCCATTTTCGGTCTGACCTAGGTTTTATAAAGGTGGAGGATAACAGGAGGAGTCAGGTACTTACTGGAGCGGTACAGGGATCCGACTATTTTTCAAACATCTTTCTTTCGATACTCACTGAGACCTCCAAATTGATGGATGTAAGTGAGACTGGTTACGTAGATAGTTTGCCAGGCGATCATAAAAGCAGGGAGTTCACTCTTCATTGGGCCATCCCTATAAGTCTCCCGGTCCTCAGCAAATGGCAATGCACGAAGATGGGCACCGAAACTGTAGGTACTGTAGTGAGTTCGATCCTCACATGCACCGCTACTATTGTAGCCTTGTGCTTGATAGATAGATAGATAGATAGATAGGAAGGAAGGAAATGAGGAAGAAAGAATGCATGAATGAATGAAGGTAGGAAAGAAGTAAGAAAAATGGAAGGAAAAAAAGAATGAAAGATAACAATATATATATATATATATATATATATATATGATAGATAGATAGGAAGAAAGGAAAAGTGCGAAGTGCCTAGATAGATAGATAGATAGATAGATAGATAGATATGATTAAAGACAGAGATAAGAGCAAAGAGATATGAATGAACAGACTGAAAAAAGGCAAGATAAACCTAGATAGATAGGTAGACAGACAGACAGACAGATAGATAGATAGATAGATAGGAAAGAAAAGTACTAAGTACCAGAATAGATAGATAGATAGATAGATAGATAGGAAAGAAAAGTACTAAGTACCAGAATAGATAGATAGATAGATAGATAGATAGATAGATAGAAGGGAAAAGAGATATGAACAGATTGAGAAAATATAAGATACACGTAGATAGATAACTGAATGCATTATAAGAAGAAAGAAACTGTGATAACAAGAAAGAGAGATATTTTAATAAATAGAGAACACGAAAAAGAAAAAGGTAAGAAAATAAGAAAAAGGAAGAGACAACTTGTAACTTTGCGATCTGCGTATATCAGGACAACAGAGGCCTTGTATAATGGTGAAAGTTTCTGCTTAGACGAGATGATGCATTATTTTGATGAAACTCGAGTAATGCTTTCATATCTCGTCTTTGTTGGGAGATTACATCTTAAAAATAAATTAAATTAAATTTATGAATATAAACATTCCTGCTATTGAAAATCTAACTCTATTTTTGGGGCCTGTAAGTACAGACATTATATAAATGAGTAGACGGCATTATCTTATTGAGATATGACATTTAATAAAGGTATATGCATCGCCGTTTGATTTCTATAAAGACGAGAGAAATAAGCGCGCAATTGCTTTAAAGTATACCTCGATGTATGGATCAGTTGTAACAAATTTAGTACAGGAGATAAGGAAATTGAACATTAGAAACACTACGCTGCTGGTTGTTTTATCCAACAAAAGATGCCTCAAAATCAATATATGACCTAAGAACACTAAACATATTCTTAACAGATCGCGACATCTCTTACAGAGATGAAATTTAAATTTTTATTATTGCATTATTCCGTAACTTTAACACATCAGCAGGTAGCTATTAATGTCAACAACTGAACACAAATAGTTATTAATTAAAAAAATTAGTAATTAATGTATAATATTATCCATAACTACATGGACAAGAATGTCGATTTTTGATAAAAGTTAAAAAAATAACCATAAATATGTAAAAAATGCGTATATTGTTGAAAATTCCCTTTTCCACAATACAGCTATTTGTACTAGGTTATAATGCTTATTACCTAAACAATAATAATACTGAATAATTTTTTTCAACATAAAAATATATTTAATCACATCTCCCTAATAGCTGTCACGATCTGTAAATAGCCTTGTTAGATCTAGACTCTCATATGGATGTCATGTATGGCGACCGACTCGTTCAGAATTGTCTAAACCAGCGTTTCTCAACCGGAGTTCCCCAGAATCCTAAGTTTCTGCAAAAGGTCTCCAAGGGTTCTGCAAGAACGGGGAAGATAAGCTAATGCAATTTTGACTTTTTATTTAATTTCATATACATAATATTACTAAACACGCATATTCTTGTTTATTGTGATATTGTAATATAGACATCATTCTATTTAACCTATTATGTTATTAAAAAATATAACAATGATTAGGAATATATTTAGTGATGTCTGTACGTCTCCAGTGTGAAATCACCTTCACAAATCAGCGGCCACTCAGTGAACGGGACCTGGACTTAAAGTTATTTATTTCTTTGTTTTTTCTTTATTTTTACAGAAATACCTAATCAACCAATGTGTTTATTTTTTACGTTTAAGCTTAGATTTTTTGTGTGTGAATGAAAACCCCTGATGAAGTATTATAAACGAACACTGGATTTTATTTAGCATTACTGAAAAATTTGACAAAGAAGTATTAATTTTTCTTAAACCAGTTATTCAAAAATATATACTATGATGAACTACGATGAAAATAAAATGAGAAAGATATGGTATATAATTTTGATTTTGCGCAAGAGTTTATTTATTTTAAGTGTTATGCAAGGATAAAACGTTTAGAAACGCTGGTCTAAACTGTTAGTGAAATACAACCGTTTTCTCAGATGAATCATTAAAAGCGAATGAATCATCTTGATCCTAATCAAGATAATCCTTCATCAGATCTCTGACGCTATAGAATCACAAACAGAACTTTACCAGATAACAAAAACACGTCAGATTTCTAACAGCAGCAACAACTAAAATGGTTGGCACCCGCAACTAGAACAGAAACTCATGGTATAATTAAGATGCTGACTTTTCAAACTACCTTCAACAAAAAGATAAGAAGAAAACCATCATCAATACTAGAAAGAGTTAGTAGACTCCAGAAAGTTAATGTCCGAACAACTGTTTGAAGAAAAAGATTTTATAAATGTCAACCGATAGTAACGATAACTGTTCGATCAATTACTGTTTAATGTTTCCTTATAAGGAAACGGTTTTCTGTCACTATAACCATTGCCATCTCATGCATCAGGAACATAGCACTTTTTCGGATTTTCAAAGGAAGAGTATTATTGGTCAATCCGAAGTTTTAATAAGTCAACATTAAGCAGCGTAGAATTGGAAATTCCACCTTCAATTGTGAATCGCATGATCGTATAATTTACTACTAATGGAAAGGCAACGACTGCATTATTTTCAAATCGTCAGAATGGTTTCTTCGTTAAATAAAATAGAAAATCAAAAAGTGCCTCTTGTAAGTCATAATGTGGTCAGATATAACATGTGTTTAAAAGATCAGCACTCAAAAGGCAATACTGGTATTTATGATAGAGAAAAATCCAATACTGAAAGCAATGAACATTAAGTAAGAAATAATCATTAGTTCAATGTGAAGTTGATTAGATCCTTGAATATTTGTCATTTGTTTTTCCTGATGAGTTTTCATTGGTGTCTTTCTGATTAGCGGACTCTAATGTGTTTGGGGATTGTCGAGCCAAGAATTTTGTTTGAATCGTCTGCAGCCGACTATTAAATATATTGGGTCATATGAAAGAAATTTGCGGCACCTCTACTAAATACATACAGAAATGATTTCTGGTTTTACTTTAGAGAACAATTCTGTAGAATATTTTCTGTAATTAAATATGAACCACTTACATTTTGAAGAAAATACAAACAACAAAATAAAAAAAATTACCAAGTTTAAATTTAACTTGGGAAAAAAATAAACACAAAACCAGTAAATATTGTGAAATTCATAGAGAAGTAAGTAAGAAAGCTTCCTATTTTTAAACAGGCCCTGTTCTCTTTCCAAGTCATTGGTCTATTGTTTGCATCAATTTTTACTTTCTTTTCCCACGATTCAATGAATAAATCAGAGGTTTACGTGTGTTCTGGGTTTTCTACGACAAAACGGATTTCTTTCCGCATTGTTATTTTTTATTTATTATTGCAGCAAACCCTGGAACTACGTTTCAGAAAATGCAAAGAAAGTTGACCTAAAAGAGAATTACCTGAAGGAAAACATGTGACACCTAGGTGCTTGTAAGCGTCAACAAGAAATTTGAAGGAAAATGTACCGATGAAATAGTTTGCATTTTAAAAGCCTTGATTAAAAAGACAAAATGGTCATTTTCTCTTTTCTATGATGTTAAAATTAATAATTGGCTTCTTTGACGACGTACGCTATTTAACTCTCTCTCTCTCTCTCTCTCTCTTTATACACGCACACACACTCACACACACATGCACACACACACACACACACACACACACACACATATATATATATATATATATATATATATATATATATATACTAGCAGCATGGCCCGGCGTTGCCCGTGCTTGATTCAAAAATCGTACGACTCATACAGCAATCGCTATCACTTGCCCTTCGTTGCCTTTAAAGGAATGCCCTTTGCCGTGCTGATGTTGCTACATGCCTTACTTCTTGCCTATCTCACACTGCGAATTTTTCTAAGCTCTATACTAAACATGAAATCTGTTATGAACTAAACAAAATGAACACAAAACGATCAGCTTTAAAAAAGGACTCGTAACTGGAAAAACCAAATGAAAAAAGAATGTTAACAACATATACTTTTCACACCCAACCCAGTTCTGCGGAATCAGAATCAACGTTGAGTTTAAGCAAGCGAATGAGCCAATTGGAGTAAAGTGCCATGCAGATTTAAATTTTTCCCACTTGTGACGAATGCAGCTATCGTTTTTTTTTTTTGCATGCTAGCATGCTAGTTAACATTTGTGTCAGTCAGCTGTTGGCTCTCACACTGGCCAATAGAATCTTCCTGCCTATTCGTGGTAGCTAGCTCTCACTCTGGCCAGTAGAAAATGGCTGCAAACTACATGAAAACTGCCATAGAAGCATGAAAACATCGTTTATTTCCACTGTCGATGGAAGTTGGGAAATGCAACGTCAGTCTTGGCCTTCCCGCTAACTTGGAGCATGTGCATGTAAATTTTGGTACAAATCCGTCGAAAATTGCGGGCGTGCATTTGTTATACACACACACACACACACACACACACACACACACACACACACACACACACACACACACACACACACACACACACACCCTGCCTTTTATAGATAGAGATGGGGTAACGATATATAAATTTTTATATATTACGGGTGACGCCTTTCGTCTCTTAGGACTTCATCGGACGAGGTTTGTTTACGCTGATGCAACTACACATGACCATGAACGAGAGACGACGGGAATTTTAAATTTTGAAAATAATAATGTTTTTTAATTATGTTTTATGGTTTTTTTTTTTTAAATCGCCAATTTCATTTAGATTTTTTCTTATTTTATTTGTTTCCATCATCTTTGTTACTAAATGTCTTACATTTTGATAGTAGAATATCTATGAAGATTGGCTATACGTTGTAGGAACCTGGACACAAATTTACTGTGGATAATCTAGCCATTAAGGCCTTTCTAAACATTTTCCTTCTAGTGAATTATTTTCTCTTTTAATTAGAATAGCATTTATTTTAGGTTAAAATTATGATCAGTCTCGTTACGATCAACAACTAATGCGTTTTGTTTCTTATTTTTTAAAATGACTCTTTTGTGTCCATATAATCTTTCATTTAAATTTCTTGAAGTTTTTCCAGTATATTCTTCCCGGCAATCCTTGCGGTGATCGAGTAAATTCTTCCTTCAAGTTTTGACTTGATATTTTGTTTTGTGTTGATTAAGTCTTTTATTGTTTTAGATGTCGTTGTTACAAATTTTCTGTTGTGTTTAGATAAAATCTTTTGGATTATAATCGTGATAGAGTTAATGTGGAGAACATTATATTTTTTGATTCGTTGGAACTGCCTTTTCATTTTGGAATATTTTATGAGCTTTTTGTTTTGCATTGAATATAAAATACTTACGGTATCGGTGAGTATTTTCAATGTATTTATCTTCTTCGTGTAACTACTGAAAGCTGCAAATTTCTGAGTGTTCTTAAGTAGAATCTGATGATTATTCCGAATTTTATTTTGTTGTTGTGATGGGAATAGAAATTTATAAAATCATTTTAATTATTTGATTTTCGATGTACACTAAGTTTTATCTGCTGTTAACGTGGTGTAACAAGATATCTAGGAAAGCTATAGTTTTCTTCCATTTCATATGTTAATTCTATTGTATGTTCGACTCTGTTTAGTTTATCTACAAGATCAGGGAAATCAGTATCACGAGGATATATTAATAGAGTATCATCAATATATCGGAAGTATGTTGAGAGTTTAGGTAGAACACCCCGAAGAAGACCAAATTCGAGAAATTCTAAGAAAACACATGCCATCATCATTTGGATTCCCATTGCTAATCCAAATGTTTGTTTATAAAACTTATTATTAAATATGAAATAGAATTGATTGGTGATGAGAGGGCAGGTTTTGATTGTTTTATTGGTAGGGACAGATTTGTCTTTGATTTTGTTAGATGCTTTTTCTTTTCTTTTTAAAGAGTTTTAACCATTTTTCAACCGGGACGATCGTGTAATATATATAGTTACGTGGAAAAACCTTAGTGGTGCGTTTCGGAACAAAAAAAAATATTTTATTATCATTTTGATAGGCACACACACACACACACACACACACACACACACACACACACACATATATATATATATATATATATGCATATGTAGGGAGACAGAGAGAGAGAGAGAGAGAGAGAGAGAGATGATATATATAGAGGCGAAAGATAGATAAGGAAAGAGAAAAAGAAATAGCCTGAGGCAGAAATAGAGGGATGGCATATATAGCGAGTAAGTGTGGTGTGCTTGTAGTGTGTGTGTGTGTGTGTATGCGTGTGTATGTGTTCGTGTATGTTCGTGTATTTGGTAAATCACAGATAATAAGGGAAGGATTTTGTGGAGAGCTATGATCGCCTAAGTTCTGATGTCTATTTTAAAAAAAAAGTATTGAATTGCTCCAGGAATAGTTAAATATTGGTCGTTTATATTTCAGTCTGTGAGTCTTTACTTAGTAAATGGCTCCTCTGGAGCAGTGGTCTGAAAATGTATCAGCGTCTGGCATCACTGTGGAGGCTGAGGTCCTCCTATTACGTATACACATAAAAATATGTAATAATCATGACAGTAGTAATAATAACACAGATTGTTAACGTTAGGCAGTAAATTACTGGAATTTAAAAACGCGGTATGATCTTTGCTAACAAATGTGTTTAATATTGAAAATATAGAGCATCAATATATATATATATATATATAT